CTCTCTCTCTCTCTCTCTCTCTCTCTCTCTCTCTCTGTGCTATGTTGCATTGGCTTTCACAGCAAAGGAAAACTTGGTGAAACCTACATTTATTGAGAAGTTAAAAAACATTAGTGTTAAGGAAGGAACTTTGGTTGAGTTAGCTGTCAGAGCTATTGGAAATCCTCTTCCTGACATTGTCTGGTTGAAAAACAGTGACATTATTTCCCCACAAAAGCATCCTCATATCAGGTAAGTGCCAATGATTTTTGGACAATATTTTGCATACTTTTTCATGCACTTTTATGGTATGGTGTTTGAATCTTGCCTCTGCTTTTTTTTAAAATCTCGTTCCATGTTGTGTGGGTTTCCTCTGTGCTTTCTTTCCATAGTCCAAACACATGCACTTAGATCATTGTTTCCCAATCCGGTCCTTGGGGACCCACAGCTGGTCCATGTCTTTTCTCCCTCCGAGCTCCCTGCCAGACAGTCCACATTTTTGCTCCCTCCCCGGGAGCTGGAAGGGAGCAAAAACATGGACTATCTATGGGTCCCCAAGGACTGGATTGGGAAACACTGACTTAGAGTAACTGGTTTTCTAATAGTATGTGACTATGCCCCTTGATGGTTTTGTATGCCAGGTGCACTCAGCTATGTTCCATATTCTGTGTGGGATAGGTTCACTGACCAAAATGATTAGTTAGAAGATGGATTTAATCTATATTTAGTGTGGATAAAGCGAATAGTCACTAATATTTTGTGTTACATAATTTCAATGTTAATTACAGGATTGAGGGCACTAAGAGAGAAGCTCACTTGAAGATTTCATCAGCTACTGGTACTGACAGTGCCTGGTACACAGCTACAGCTATCAACAAAGCTGGAAGAGACACAACTCGCTGCAGAGTCAATATAGAGTTAGAATTTCCTGAACCAGAGCCAGAGAGGAAGCTCATCATCCCAAAAGGAACATATAAGGCAAAGGAGATTGCAGCTCCAGAGTTGGAGCCCCTGCATCTTCGCTATGGTCAAGAACAGTGGGAAGAAGGTGACCTGTATGATAAGGAGAAACAGCAGAAACCACATTTCAAGAAGAAAGTCACATCTGTCAGGCTAAAGCGTTTTGGTCCAGTACATTTTGAATGCAGACTGACACCTATTGGTGACCCCACAATGGTGGTTGAATGGTTGCATGATGGCAAACCCTTGGAGGCTGCCAACAGGCTGCGTATGATCAATGAATTTGGCTATTGCAGTCTTGATTATGAAGTTGCTTACTCACGAGATAGTGGTGTTGTCACCTGCAGGGCAACAAATAAGTTTGGAGTTGACCAGACTTCTGCTACCCTAATTGTGAAGGATGAGAAAGGCCTAGTGGAAGAAACTCAGTTGCCAGAGGGTAGGAAAGGAATGCAAAGGATTGAGGAGATGGAGCGCATGGCACATGAAGGTGCCCTAGCAGGTGTAACAGCAGAAGAAATATTTGAGAAAACTAAGCCTGAGATTGTACTGCTTCCTGAGCCTGTACGGGTCCTAGAAGGTGACACAGCCAGATTCCGCTGCCGAGTGACTGGTTACCCCACACCAAAGGTCAACTGGTACCTAAATGGACAGCTCATCCGAAAGAGTAAGAGGTTCAGGCTTCGTTATGATGGTATTTATTACCTTGAAATTACTGATTGTAAATCTTATGATTCTGGAGAGGTAAAAGTTATAGCAGAAAACCCGGAAAGTGTGACTGAGCATTGTGTGAAATTTGAAATACAGCAGAGAGAGGATTTTAGGTCCATCCTGCGGCGTGCTCCTGATCTGAAGACCCCAGAATCTGGTCCTTCGCCAGATCGTGGTAGAGTGTCTTTTGAAGTTCAAAAGGTAGACGCACCTGCTGACACAACCCAGCCAAAAGAGATAATTAAACTAAAAAAAGCTGAAAGAGTTGTTCATGAGATATCTTCAGAAGAGTCAGAGGAACTGAGAAGTAAATTTAAACGCCGGACAGAAGAGGGTTACTATGAAGCAATAACTGCTGTAGAGCTCAAGTCTCGAAAGAAAGATGAGTCCTATGAGGACATGCTGAGGAAGAAGAAAGAGGAACTTCTACATTGGATCAAAGAAATCTCTGATAAGGAGAAAAAAATGGAAGAAGAAAGAGGCAAAGTGACTATTCCAACAATTAAACCAGAAAGAATAGAACTTTCACCCAGCATGGAAGCTCCTAAGATCTTGGAACGAATCCAGAGCCAGTCTGTTTTCCCAACTGATGAAGTTCGTTTCCGTGTCAGAGTGGTAGGCAAACCTGACCCAGAATGTCAGTGGTTCAAAAATGGCATTCTTCTAGAGAAGTCAGACCGTATTTTCTGGTACTGGCCTGAAGATAATTTATGTGAATTAGTAATCAGAGACATCTCAATTGAAGATTCTGCTAGCATTATGGTCAAAGCTGTCAATGTTGCTGGAGAAGCTTCAAGTCACGCATTTCTGTTGGTTCAAGGTGATTTATTAATTATTTGTAATAGTACTAATAGATTCTTAAGTTATTTTGTTTCTACAATTTAATACATATGCTATTTTTTCTGTAATATTTCATTTGTTTCAGTCAAGCAAATAGTTTCCTTTACTCAAGAACTTGAAGATGCCAATGCCAAAGAGAAGGACACCATGGTGACATTTGAGTGTGAAACCAGTGAGCCTTTTGTGAAAGTTAAATGGTTGAAGAACAATGTCGAGATTTTTTCTGGAGACAAGTACAGAATGCACTCAGACAGAAACGTACACTTCCTCTCTGTACTGATAATTGAAATGAAGGACATTGCAGACTACAGTTGTTGTCTCGTGGATGACGACCATATCAGAACTACTGCCAGACTTACTGTGGAGGGTAAGTCATCATTATTCTCTCAAGATACACATGAAATCAAATGGTCCTTACCATGAATAAATGAACAATTATACTGTAAATGATCTTCCTTTTCTTCTCAGGTGCTCCATTGGTTATACTTGCAGAATTGGAGAATATTGAAGTTCCTGAGACCTACTCTGGAGAGTTTGAGTGTGAAGTGTCTCGTGAGGATGCTGAGGGTACTTGGTACTTTGAGGGCAGAGAGATCTCTCCAAGCAGCAAATATATAATCTCCTCCCGCCGTGGACGTCACTCTCTTTTTGTCAAGGATGTCAGAAAGGAGGACCAGGGGAAATACAGCTTTCTTGTTGGTGACCTAAAGACAACTGCTTCCTTGAAGATGAAATGTTAGTGTTTATGCATCTACATACGTTATGCATCTAAAATATGATATACGTAGGAGTGCTTGTGCAATCAGTGACTTTGGAAAATATACTTAATGCATTATACTATTCAGAATGTCAAACAACGTTGGGCATTCAGTAGAGCTGGGCAGTAGGACCAAAAATTTATATCACGGTATTTTTTCAAAGTTATATCGGTTTTATGGTATACAACGGTATTTTTTATGACTATGACTGGGAGTTTACTACATTTTACAGGACACATTTTTGTTTTACATTTTTGCATTGCTCCCACATTAACTATATTATTTTTTTATTAGCCATTGCGCCTATCTGCTACCTTAATGATAACATATGGCTAACGTGTTTGTTGGCTAACTGCTTATAGATAAACAACTAATGTTAAGGTGTGCGCCGGCTAAGGTAACATTTTTGATAGGTGTTTAACAGTTCTGTGTTGCTGGAACGCAAGCTTTACTGACCTTGCGAAATTTCTCATAAAGACCGGGATGTCGGTCTTTAAGATGCTTCGCCAAGTTTGATGCGCTACTTGACATTTGCGCCACAACTTTGTAGCACTGTTTGCATAGAGGCTATGTGTGTGTTAATCAGCGCAAATGTGTTCAGCGGCTATTGAGAGGAGGAGAGGGGCTGCGCGAATGAGTGTGCATGCGTGCGCTGTAGTGGTGCTGCGTGAAGTGTGGCGAATGAGGCGGAAACTGCACTGTTGGTACCATTAACTCCAGTGTCAGCTATATCTTCCGTTTCTGATCTTTTGCGGTACATTTTTAGCGATGCAGCAGTGAAAAAGGTCCCCTCTTAAACAGTTTCCAGCTGCGCCACTTTCTGAACATTGTGTAGGCTATTTAAACCGGCATTGCGATATAAGAGTAATAAACAATAACAATAATAAATACAATAATAAAAAATGGTTTTCGGTATGAACCAGTATACCACCCAACACTGGCATTCAGTATAAATTTCTTCTTTTTTTCCCCATGTAGTACGCCCAGTGACTCTGGTGCAAGGTCTTGCAGACCTGACCATTTGTGAAGGTGACATAGCCCAAATGGAGGTTAAGTTCTCTCAGGAAAATGTTGAAGGCAAATGGATGCGGAATGGTCAAGCCATCTTGGCCACTGACCACATACATATGGTGACTGACAAACTCACCCACAGGCTTCTTATTGAAGATGCCCAGGGGAGCGATGCTGGGATGTACTCCTTTTTTGTTCCAGCTCATTACTTAACAACTTCTGGAAAGCTGACAGTTCAGAGTAAGTGTGAGTGTGTGGGTATGTGTGTGTTTCAGAAATACATTCAGTTGTTTTACCTCTTTGATTTTAAGCATTTATTTTTTTTATGTAAGTAAACATGTAAACAATTATTATTTTTTTTCCCTTTAGCCATTAGTATTTTGACGCCTCTGAAAGATGTAACCTCGGTTGAGTCCACTAAAGCTGTGCTTGAAGCTAAAATATCATCTGCTGATATCACTTCAGTGAAGTGGTATCACAATGACAAACTGATGATGCCTAGTGAGAGGGTTCAGTTTGTAGCTAAGGGGTACAAACAACGTTTGGTCTTCGACAGAACCTTTGCCTCTGATGAAGGATGCTATAAGCTTGTTGTTGGAAAAGCTGAGTCCAGTTGCAATATGACAATTGAACGTAAGCATTTTTACAAGTCATGTAGTATATAGCATAAAATCTGTTAGTGACATCTCTGGTGAGTGTGATTTTGCACTTGTGATTTTGCCATTTTTAAGGGGTTCACATTATAAAGCATATGGAAGATCAAATATGCCCTGAAACCCAGAACGTCACTTTTGAGGTGGAGTTATCTCACCCTGGTATTGATCCAGTATGGAGCTTCAAAAATCAGCCTCTCATACTTGATGCCAAATACAGGATGGAGGCTAAGGGCAAGCGTTACCTTCTGACTGTCATAAACACCATGAAAGACGAGGAGGGGCAGTACACATTTGCAGCTGGTGAAATGACTTCTAGCGCAAAACTTACGGTGTCAGGTATGTCTATCTTTTGTTTTTTGTAACCAACATTTAATCATAGATTAAATGCACTGATGAATGACTCTAGGCACTTCGAGCAGTAAATCTTAGACATTTTAGTAAGATGTTAGGTCCCTTTCGCTAATAATATTTCAATAACATTTTAAATATTGGCCTAATAATTTATATTTGCTCATTCTTAAATATCCTTAGTATCTTTGTGCATTAATATTTGCAAGACTTGTTCCGGGCTGTTTAGGGAAGAGAACATAGGGATAGGTGGTAGAAATGGGAACTGTACTTGAGAATGGGAGGGAAGATTTAGCAAAAATTGCGGTGTGGAATGGAAACATTATGTCATCAACATAAGGAGAAACACGAGAAAAGAGAAGAGGTAATGGAGCATGGAAAGTTCTTCAATGGGTATGGGGGGCTGGCCAAAAAAGAATTTAAGCTTATTAATGATTAGTTATAGGGCACATCTGAAATGAATGAATGTTATTGTCACCTGACTTTAGCTCCTTGTTATAAAATATTGCCTGATATCCGTACTTAATTCAAATTAAATAATAATAATAATAATAAAAAACCTTTTCAGGTGGTGCAATTAAACGACCTCTCCAAGATGTCACTGTAGCAGAGTCACAGACTGCTGAGATGGAGTGTGAGGTAGCAAACCCCAGCATTGAGGGAAAATGGTTAAAGGATGGCAAACTTTTACAGTTCAGCAACAACATCAAAAGCAAAGATTTTGGGGCTATTAGGAAGATTATCATCGTTATCAGTAGGCCTCAGGACATTGGGGAATACACTTACCAGGTGGCAAACTCCAAGACAACAGCAAACTTGAAAGTTGAAGGTACCATAATTTATTTTTAGATCAATTTTATTAAATGCTATTTATTTTCTACTCCATTATCATTAAATGAAAGATTATGTAAGTGCCCTGACTGTATTTTAACATTGTATTCAAAAGCTGTGAAAATTAAGAAGACATTAAAAAACCAGACTATCACTGAGACCCAGGATGCAGTTTTCAGTCTTGAACTTACACTAGAACATGTGAAGGGTGCTCAGTGGATCAAGAATGGTGTGGAGATTACCCCCAGTGATAAATATGAGATCCAAGTAGATGGCATGGTGCACACACTCAAGATCAAGAACTGCACAGCACAAGATGAGTCGGTTTATGCATTCAAGCTTGGAAAGCTGTCAGCAAATGCCAGACTAAATGTGGAAAGTAAGTTGAATACATATACATTGTGAGGATCCTTTGAATCATTGTATGCAATATGTGTATTTGTATCATATGTTGCATATTTTTATTGAAATATTTTTATTCTATGTTTACAGCAATAAAGATTATGAAGAAACCAAAGGATATGACATCTGTTCGCGATGCTACAGCGTCCTTTGAGCTAAGTCTGTCCCATGACAACATCCCAGTGAAATGGATGTTCAACAATGCTGAGCTTAAGCCAAGTGAAAACTGTAAGATTCTCTCTGAGAGGAAGGCTCACAAGCTGATCATTCAAAATGCGGACACACACAACGCTGGAGAATACACTGCTATAGTTGGACATTTACAGTGCAGTGCATCTTTATTTGTAGAATGTAAGATCTCTTTCAGAATACTTTGCTTTTTTTCCTCTATATCACATATGAAGTCTATGTATGAAGTGTATAGATACTACTGTTTGTATTTATTAAAGTTAAATGTTTTTGTTGTTAATTATATTTCTAGCTTTACAAATTACAAAAACAATGAAGAATGTTGAGGTACCTGAAACCCAAGTGGCCACCTTTGAATGTGAAATCTCACACTTCAATGTGCCATCTACTTGGCTGAAAAATGGAGTTGAGATTGAGATGAGTGAGAAGTTCAGGATTGTAGTGCAGGGGAAACTCCACCAGCTCAAAATAATGAACACCAGCAGAGAAGATTCTGCAGAATATACCTTCATCTGTGGAAATGACAGGGTTTCTGCCACTTTGACTGTCAATCGTAAGATGTTTTATGCTTTTGCTCTTTTACTTCATTCAAAACTTGTTTATTAAGGGTGGAAATTGTTAGTGAAACATGCCAAGCTTGCTGGCACGCAGGATTGCCAACTCTCACGCATCTGGCATGACACTCATGCTTTCAGACTCATGCTCACGCAAGAAATCTTACGGCAAACCTATATTATTCTATTATAAACCTAAAATTAGCTACTCCAAAAGTTTTGGGGTAGTTTTCAAACCCTACAGACTATTTAAAAGCCAGCAAATCTGTGTTACATACATGTAAATGCATGTTCATGTGTGTGCAGACTTGTTTCGAATTGAAAATCTTACTCCAGCCAGCTGACCAAAGCTGGCAGCCCTGGGCACATATTCTGTGAAAATTGACAGATTCTTCTGTGGGACTAATTTAATAATGAATTATAAACATGTTGGAAGTTGCTACTTTGAGACCTCTTGTATATGGTGCACGAGACAACTAAATCCCTCCTGCACTACAGAAACTGCCTGATCATTCAATGCAATCATCTCCATTATTTTAGTACTTATGTCTTTAGCTTGGGTACTGCTGACTTTGAATATTGATGAAGTTTAAAAATCACCCAGCAATATCGGCCAAGATTGATACACTGGACCAATGCTGATATCTTGATTTTTAATGAATATTGACCGAAATAATATGTTATCCAACATGTTATGTATCTCTAAGGTAGCTAGGTAGGGTCTTGACCAATGCCACTGTAGCTTGCAAAAAGAACTACTTTTTTTGTGCTACAAAACAGAGGCATTTCCCAAAAGCACCATAGCAGAAAGATAATCCGGTAGACTTTCTTTATGGATATTAATGAACCTTCCTGTCTGACATTTTGGAAATGTGTGTTCGGGGATTGCTACATAGTGCTACTTAGTGTGTCTACATGCAGCATGTAAATCTAAGACCACGTAACCTGGAAGTATGCGTATGTTTATTTTACACCTAAAAGTTGATTCTGACGCTACAGATCAATGCCACATCATCATCACATTGCATCTTTACACCCCCATTAAATATTGATTAATGCTCACTGAACTTTTTCTGTTTCAACAGCTATTTTGATCACATCAATGCTGAATGACCTTAATGCTCAGGAGAAAGACACAATCACTTTTGAAGTAAATGTAAACTATGAGGGAATTTCTTACAAATGGCTGAAGAATGACGTAGAGATTCGTTCTACAGAAAGATCTCAGATTCGTTCAAAACAGCTCTCTCACTCTCTGACCATCCGAAATGTACACTTTGGAGATGGTGGAGAATATAAATTTGTTGCTGGATCTGCATCAACATCGGCTAATTTATATGTTGATGGTAAGTATACTTCAGATGCTTCATAATACCTCTGGAGTAATTTGTAAGTTATTTTCTTGTTACATACCATGTTTTGTTTCAGCTCGTGTTATTCAGTTTACAAAATTCATCAAAGATATTAAAACAACTGAAAAGAAGAAAGCTGTATTTGAATGTGAAGTCTCAGAACCTAATGTACAAGTAATTTGGATGAAAGATGGACTGGAACTGGACAAATCTGAACGGTATATTGACTTTTTTTTAAGTCTGTTGCCCAGTCTTTGTAATTCATCATGTTTCAGTCATGTTTCTGTTAATATATAGATATGAAATGTGCTGTCAATAATTTACTTATTCAATAATACAAAACCTGTCATGTGATCTTTGTCTGTATTATAAATAGGGGCGCATGGTGGTGTGTGCAGTGAAACTCAGAGACTCAGCAAAAGAGAAAAAAGTGCCTCAGTGTATGTAAACATACACTATGTCTATGAATATAATGGGAGTTGGGTTTTTATCCTTCAAATAACAAAACAATGGCCCTGCTGTGTTTCCCGGTTCAAAAATTTGAGATAGTTATATAATTTTTTTTCTTTATCGGTTGCTATATAATATATTCTACCACTTTATTCTCTACACTGTTAATGGGCTTCTTATCAGCACTGCAATGTAGTACGTGTATACAGTGTTTATGGAAGTCATATCATTGGTACTTCCAGAAATGGAATGGTGACTCAATGGGTAGAACTGTAGTGTCGCAAATCTTGGCTTATCAGGTTCCAAGCCCCCCCTCCAATGATGTGACCTAGATGGTTGAATTAGTGTCTCGAGATAGATCATAGAGTTTATTTAGATTTTGGTGGACTAACTTCCTGTCCACATTGTTCACTGCCGGGAGCTGAGAGGAAGCTGAAGTGTGGACTTTCTGGCTGGGAGCTGGGAGGGAGCAAAAACGTGGACCTTCTGGGGTCCCCAAGGAGCAGATTGGGAAACTGCTATAGACTCTAAGCTTATCACAATTTTGAATTGGATAAGCGGTTAAGAGATGAAGAGTAGGTAAAGCATGGTGTATTATTGAATTACTATTAAAATGAGTCAGTTGGTGAAATAGGTTTGATGTTTTTGAATAAGTGGATAAAGATGGTTTTTCATCCTGAAAAAGCTTCCTCAAACCGTTGAAGCTGATTGCTTTTCAGTAGCATGCTTTTATTTCAATTGTAATCCCACATTAATTTCCACTTGTCCAATTTCCATGCTGCTTCCATCAGATACGGTAAACCTGGAGTTTCTCCTTCCAGGCACAGGTCACAAGACTGGGGGGGGGGGCTCCCTAGACTGAATGCCAATTCATCACAAAGCACACATTCACTGGGTAGTTTAGAGACACTAATTCATCTATACCATGTGTCTTTAAGCAGTGTGAAGAAAACCATGCAAACATTAATAGAATGGGCAAACTCCATAAACATGGAGCTTGGGGTGGAAATTGATACTAAAATTGTGAGGCTTCAGTGATAATAAATGAACCACCATGCATTCCAACACTTCAAACATTTTGTTGTATTATTGATTGCAAACTGCATTACTCCATAGGTATGTGATTTAATAAACAAATATTTATAATCATGCTTGCATATATTTACAGTAATGTGAAAAGTATTCAATGCCCCTCCGCATACTGTAATCCGTTGGATTTGTGCTGTGTTCATGCCCGGCTGCATGATGGCTACGGCTCACCACTCCCAACTCTTTGGTAGATGGTGCTCTCTGTTCAAAAAGGCCTCAAAGCATACCCCAAAGTAAACCAAGAGCACCATCTAGTGGGGTCAGACAATACAGCAAATGGTTCATAAAATGTCATTTTGGGCATTACTGCTCTTGACTCTCAGAAACTGACAAGTTTGCAGGCTCAGCACATTCGGTTGAAGCTACTAGGCAATTCTTGTGAGACTCACAAGACCCATAGGAAATGTTTATGATATAATTTATTAATGATTTGTCGTTATTTCTTATTTAAAATGCATTTAACTACATTAATGGCCACTGGATCAATGTTTCTATTTAATTCATTGTCTTTGGTGAAAGTTACTCAGTTTTGGAATCCCATTCCCATTTCTTGTTTTTTTTATTACGGTTACTGTTCATTTGTATATATCCTAATGTTACACTGTGTTTTTTTCCTGAGCAAATACAGTGGTACCTCAGAACTCGAATTTAATCCATTCAGAACTCCGGATCGAATCCTGAAAAGTTCGACTTGTGATCAAATTTTCCCCATAAGAAATAATGGAAAAACAATTAATTGGTTCCCAACCCCAAAAAATTACACCTGAATATGTTTTTTTTTTTAGCATTTAAACACAAAATGAACCGGATAAAACAAGAAGAGCATATACTAAACACATCTAAGCACATTTATCAAAACAGTAATTTGAAAAGTAAGAAAATAAATGTATCCAAACAATGTGTCCTGCCCCGATCGTCGGCTCCTTCCGTGTGCCACACCGCCTCCTTAACCCCACGTGGAATCCCCGTGTGATCAGCTGTTTCTGGTTGTTATAATTAGTCCTCTGTACTTCGTCCGCGTTTCAGTTTGTTTCCACAGTCCGGTCATTGTATTGTCCATCTGCGTTTTGCCTGCTTTACCTGCGTAATTAAACCCCGTATTCCCCAATACCCTGACGTCTGCACCTTTGTCTCCGTTCCACCCCTGCTCGGCACAACATTATTATAATTAAAGGTATTAATGGTTTATTATTAGTATTAAAATAATGAATAAGAAATCTTTATTTTTAAATGTATTTTATTATATAATAATAATTATTATTGTTACTATCATTGTCTAAATGTATTTTTACTGTCGAAATACATGTATTCAGCTAGTGTAAACATGCACAATGCTCTCACAGCGAATGCAAGGCTGCGACTGAAGCGTTACCCTTTGTTTGCGCTGAGAGACGTACCGCGTGACTCATTTCCCCGCGCATACAAGTTATCTTAGGTCGGCGTTCACGGTTTGATTTCTGAGATTCAGATCGAGCGCTAGGTAAATTTTTTTCGAACTGGTTGGTTCGATTTTTAAGAAATTCGAGTTCTAATGAGTTCGAGAACTGAGGTACCACAGTATAGGCATACTACCCAGGAAAATAATCTTTAAAATTTTCTTTGCTTAATTCTTTTGCACAGCACTGTAAATGGTTGTGAAAAATCTTTTGCCTGTATTTAGAATACTTGGTCTGCTTCAGAATCTGCGATAAATTTTGCACCTTGAATTTTTCAATTTTTAAAATTTTGTTAATTCTTAAAATTTTGCCTCCAGATACAAGATTTCCAGTGAGAAATATGTGCATCGACTGATAATTCAAAATGTTTGGTTATCTGATGCTGGAGAGTATTGTGTAGTTGCTGGTTCAAGCACTTGCAAAGCTCAACTCACTGTGGAGGGTCGTGATGTCCGGATCACAGAGCCAATGGAGAAGGAAATTACTGTAAATATTTATTTGGCATATTTAACACATTATAACACATCAAAATAGTAATACAAATCCTTCCTTGCTAACAGTATGAAAAATTTCTTGAATATTTCTAGATCGTTGAGAAGCACAAAGCTGCATTTGAGTTTGAAGTCAATGAGGATGATGTTGAAGGATGCTGGTTGAGGAATGGGATCGAGATCAAGTTTTCTGTTGAAGACAGGTTCAACTATGTTGTAATTAGAAAAGTCCATCGTTTGACCATCTCAGAGACCTGTCACAGTGATGCTGGAGAGTATACATTTATTGCTGGCAGAAACAGAAGTGTGGTTACACTCAATGTCAACAGTGAGTAGTACAGTTTAAACAATGACAGTTTCTTACAGTTTTAAAATGAAAAAAAAAATAGAAAATGTACAAAACAAACTTATTTTGCTTTTTTCCTCCTCATTCTCCATCATATTCTGTTTTCCATTCAGTTCCTGAACCTCCTCAAATAATTCAGCATATGCAGCCTCTGTGTGTTGAGGCTGGGAAGCCGGCTTGCTTCTCTGTGGTGGTGACAGGAATTCCTCGGCCAAAGGTCTTCTGGTACAAGAACTCCCAGGTTCTGTCTCCTGGGTTCAAGTGCAAATTTTTGCAAGATGGTAATGAGTACAAACTCCTCCTCATTGAGGCCTTCCCAGAAGATGCAGCTGTCTACAGGTTTGAGGCCAAAAATGAGTGTGGAGAGGCTACCAGCACTGCTGATCTTATCATTGAAGGTAAGAGTTGCTGGTACACATATTAATAATTTAAAATGATCATAAAAATAACCAGAAGAAGTTTATATATGTATGCTAATATTTACATTTGCATAATTTAAACACTTTTGCCCAAAATGATGTACAAATGTGGTGTATTACTCTCAACATAAAACATACAAGCAGTGTAGAAAAATAGGTTAACATTTATGAAGAGTTTTTAAGTGGCTTGGGTGGTGTTATGGTAATATGGTATACTGTGTTTCTCTAAAATAAGTTGTGACCCAACCCTGCACTGGGCAAAATTTACCACTGGAGTTTGTCACTTTAATTAGAGGTTCTCTGTACTGTGTAAAGTTTTTTTTGCAACTGTGATTTAAAAATAACACTTTTGCACTTTTCTTTAAACCCAGTGTTTTGGCACAACTAAAAGATTAATTGATTGCTTGATCACATGATTAATTGATTATAAAAATACAGACACTCCTCTATTTACAAACTTTCAACTTACGGACTTTCAGACATACAAACGAAGACGACTGCAAGTCCAAATTGTGTTCGTTGGGCTCGCGTTTCCCGTCCGCAACATCATTTTTTTCTTTCTGCGCGCAAATTCCGCCTAGCACGACTTCTGGCCGTTACTCCTGCCGCGCAGCAGTACTCCCAGCACCCTAGTTATTTGTACTTGTGTATACACTTAAAATGATGTTGAATGACGGCTTACGAACATTTCAAGCTGTGAACGGCTGTTCGTTATGTATCTCATTTGCAAATAGAGTAGCGTCTGTAATCCTTTTTTTGTAGCGCTATTATAAACATACGTGCTGTGATTTGTAATTTTGTGATCAGAAAATGTATTTATTGAGTCTGATGATAAAATTTATCTTTTTAGTCCCTGAAGTGATTTCCCCTGATACTGGATCTCCACTGTCCCTCCCTGTTATCATTTCTCCAATTTGCAACACCACTGTCGGCGTAGGAGAAACTGCTCAGTTTCAGTGCCGTGTCTCTGGTGAAGGTACTACATTTTTTCACTTAGTGTTTATAAGGAATTACGATGCCACTTTACAATAAGGCTACCCATATAAAGGGTTTATGAATGGTTTATAATCTGGTTATTAATTAGGTTGTAACAATTTGTAAACTATTAATAGACAATTTTAAACAAGTTATAGCACAGTTTTCTTTTTATTATGAGTGGCAAAATGGAGCCTTATTGTAAAGTGGTACCGAAAATACCTATATTAGTTACTACTTATAAATAACTGGTTGATTGTTTAAGTATTGGAAAAATGTCTTAATTGTCTTTGCTTCCTTAGATTTACAGATCATCTGGTACTGCAAAGACAGGGAGATAAAACAATCTGACATCTTCAGAATGTCTCAGTTTGATGATAAGTGTCAATTGGAGATTACTCGAGTTTTCCTTGAGGATAAGGGAGAGTACACTTGTGTGGCGAGGAACCCAGCTGGAATGGTATCGTGCTCTGCCGTCTTGTCTGTTGATGGTGAGTTTTTAATCATTTAGTTCAAAGCACGATACTGTATTTTTGTTTTTATCTGCATTTTGGTGGAAATGGAAAACATCACTAATACCTACATTTAACCATGTGGTTTTTGTGAATCTTTTGAGTCTTGCAATTAAATTGTATTACTCTGAAATTAGTTTTTTATATAAATAAAAAAGGCTTTTACGTTTTAATATGATAATTAATTTTCATCGTAATCTCACCTGGGAATACTTTTTTATGCCTGTAAGTTCTATTCTTTTGATCATGTTTTTTTGTAAATGAAGCCTCATGTCACTCACCACCATGAACAACAGATGGTGAACGTAGGATTTATTAATTAAACTTCCCTTTCGTATTACTGAAATCAAAGATGAGAAAACTACACATATTAAAATCCAAGTGCTGGGAATTCATAATGGAAAGGATTTTTTTTTATAAACATGGAAGACAAGACTTTCATTCACCCTTCAGTGTGAAAGAAACCAGGATGCCCTCGCATAAATCACTTGATGAAACTTGTCTAAAAAATTATAATATGCAAAGGTTTATATTATTAATAGAACAATATCTGCTAAGAGCAGGGACTTCTGTGGAGAAATGAAAATTGTTCCCAGGAACCATTTGTTGATTTATGGAAGGAAGGATCTTGACGAGTCAAAAGGTGAAGCAGTTTAGGTTACATGCTGCTGTTACGGCCCTGCTGAGGTGAAGGAGGAACAAATTATAAAGTGGATTTTAACATTACACAGGATCACATACATTTAAATTGTAGAACTCACATACCATGGATATTATTTCTGCGTAACACAATAAACACGACATATCTTTCCCTCATATTAATGTTCATTATGTATAACACAAATAATCTTTTAAAATTAATATATAATAAATTTTCAGTTTTCACCAAGTCCCCAGGTTGGGTTGACTGCAATGTAAAATATATGAATCTAGACAGGTTGCCGTCAATCATTTTTTCAAGACAGCGGGAAAACTATCCAATTCTTCAGTGAAACATCAAATAAATGCTTCATGCTGCATTGTAACATATGTGTGTGTTTTTTTTGCAGTCCTGAAAATGGGAGAGCAGATAGAACCAAAAACCACACAAGCAGCCACAGGTAAAATTCATTCGCACTGCATTTTTTATGTACTTAATTTCTTGCAACTGATGGACCTTTCTGACTTCAGATAGCTCTCAGTTTATAGGTGACAGAGAATTAGCGTGTACTGCGAAAACAATGATGCAGAGTACTATATATTTCAAAAGTTTCATATTGTAACAATGCAAGTGACAGTACTTTAACATAAAACAGGATGCATTTATTGTGACTTATCTGCTTAATGTCCATGAATTTTGACCTATCTAGCTGCTTATCTTGTGCTGTGGCAGGCTACTTTCTCTGCAGAACCAGTGTTTGATGTTAGCTGCCTGTATGTGCAACTGACATTTTTACTGTCTTTTAATGTGATAAGAAAATGGTGGATAAATCAGTAAATCAATAATAGTTTAAAAATTCCAGCAACTCATGACAATCGGTTGAAGAATACCTTTAAAAGCAGACAACCTTCACTGCACTGTATCTATAGTTATAATAATTAATTATAAAAAAATTAGATGTGTCCTGGCGATGTTGTTTTATGGTTCTGTGATGAGTGAATTACTCACAAATTAAGTTAATGTCATTTTGGAAAGGGTTTCATTTCAGAACTTGTGTTTCTGAATGGATATTTTTAGTAAAAACTTAAACTTATTATTTTCATTCAGCTTTCTCTAGCTTGACCTTCACAAATGAAGAAAAACAAGAATCCACTGGCACCAGCCCATATTTAACTGAAAAAACCGAAACACTTGAACTCAAACCAGAGTCCAGATTTGATCCTGTACAATTAGAAAATAAAAAAGAAAAGCCTGTTTTTGTTACCAGGCTTATGCCAACAAATGTTACTGTCGGAGATACGGCTAAGTTTACTGTCACAGTGTCTGGTTTTCCAAAACCTACGGTTGAATGGTTTCACGATGGTCAGATGATCACATCTTCTTCAGTCTATAAATTAGTTCAAGAGAAAGATGAGTTCACTTTAATTATTTCTCAGGTAAAGGTGGAACATAAAGGGCAGTACTCTTGTACAGCAACTAACAGTTATGGCCACTCAACTTCTAGTACGTTCCTGCATGTACACATTGAGGAGAGGAGAAAAATACTCCAAAAACCACCTCCTCGTTTTATTTTACCCATTGCAAGTCTTCAGTGCATTGAAGGAGGTGAAGCTCAATTTCAGTATAATGTGACTGGGGAACCACTTACAGAAGTTAAATGGTTTAAAGGCAGCCATCAGATTCAACCTAGTAGTCATTATACAATTCAGAAAAACCCAGATGGTTTTGGATACTTACAGCTACATGGCCTTCAGATGGAGGACAGTGGCCTTTATACATGTCAAGCATCTAATCCTTTTGGGGATGCCTCCTGCAGTGCAGAACTGATTGTTTGCCACAAGAGCCAAACTTACAATGAAGAACACAGCGTTTATCAGACGCAGAAAGGTTACAAAATATCAATGACCGAAGAAGCCACTGAATCCCGTCTGTATACAGTGAACCTACCAGGGGAAGCCAGAGCTTGCCTGCAATCAGGGCATAAGATGCTTTACACAATCGGTACAGAAGATAAACAAACAGTAATCAGTGAACAGGTAGGCACCTTGCAAGAGACGAACGTATCTGCTGCTAATCTTCAAAGGGAGCAGATCACCCGCCAAGCTGCTCTGCTTCAGTCACACAAATTAGAAGAGAGAGTATCTGTGGCTCCCACTCAGCCTCCTTCTTCTACAGTGGCTCCTGTGAGACAGCTCAATGTGCCCACTTTCACCTCCGCAGTGCAGGAGAGCCAAGGCTTTATAGAACAACATTATGATCACATTCAAAGCCCTGTCATCGTAGAACTGAAGATGGCTCAGGAACGACATGCAAATATCATGTCTGCAGTTACTGAAAAAATTACCCCTCTAAATAGCATAGAAACAGAGCTTATGGGTAATAAAAAAAGAGAACAGATACAAGTTCTTAGTCATCAAGTGGAAACCAGGTTACCCATTGTGGATGAGCAATCGGAAGTCATTTCAAAGCCAGAGTTTGAACAAAGCTACAGAGTCAAAGAAGGTGTGAAAATACTATATTCCGCTTTGGCGACGGAAAAGCAGAAACTGTCTGAAGCGCATTCTACAGAGTGGTCTATCTCTGAGGCTTCTACGCAATCTTCGACTGGAAAAGAAATGTTCAAGCCAGTTCTAGCATCTGTCACTGAAATTAAGAATTTGTTATCAAAAGAGGACAAATATGACATACATAGACTGAAAGAAGCAAAGGCAGTGCCTTGTAAAGATGCTGTTCTTAAGTCAAGTTTGGTATCTGAAGAGAAGCAGATTCTCCAGGCCGAACAAACGAAACAAATACCAGATTTAGAAAAGGCACTTACTGTGCAGTCTCAAAAAGAAAAAAGAGAAATCATGCATTTACAAATTATGAGAGACCAGGGTACATTACCCTCTGATGGAAGAATTATTTGTGAGAAACCAATAGCTGAACAAACAGACATTATAAAACAGCCTACCCTGTTGCATACAGTTACTACTAATGAACAGAATTCAGTTACTTGTGATCTGTCATCACAGTTTTCTTCAAAGGAAATTCAATATTCCGTTCAGCCTACAAAAGAATCTCTTACTCCTTTACATCTTCAGTCTGTTCACCCAGAGTGTGTTTTAGCTAAAGAGGAAATACTTACAGTTGAAAAGCCTGAGGAACAAATTTCATTATCGAAACAGGAGAGAGTCCGTAGACAAGCAGTAAGCATTGAAGAGAAAAGGAAGCTAACAGCAGACTATTCTACAAACATTGATGGGTCAATAACTGGGGTTTGCTCTGTACTTAAAACAGAACCAAAGCCTCAAAATATTCTCCAGGTGATTTCAAAACCAGTGGAACTGCCCAAGGAGACCCCATTCACCACAGTTGTGAAACAGCAGCGTGCATTAGTTCAGAAAGAGGATCAGTGGGCCTTAATGCACCTAATGACCACAGAAGACAGTCAAACTTTACAGGAGGGACACACAAATACTTTGAATGTAGTAGAGAAATTTAGCTGTGAAGCAAAGGTTGAGCCTTGTATTCCTTGCGAACCAGTTAACATAGAGGAGAAAGCAATCTCAACTGAACGTAGTGTTGCTTTGGAAGCTGCCGAACAAGATTTTGCTGTCAAAATTCAGGAAGGACAATCAGTTAGAAAATCTGTAGTGATGGCAGAGAATCAAGTAATAATTGGAGAAGTATCTCAGGAAATAAATAAATCAGAGGCAAACAAAGCTTGCAGTATAAAACAGTCCAAAGAAGTGCTTACCGTGCATGAGACCCAGGAAAGTACAGTATTACCAAAAGAGCTTACCTTTATTATTCCTACTTCAAAATCATTCAGCTTGGACATAAAGCATCAGTTAAAACATGCATTGCAATCTGCAGTAGCATGTGAACAGCCATTGCTGTTAGCCGAAGTTGTGAATAGTTTGGAAGTTGTAGAGGTAAAGGAAGTTAAAATGCTCAAAGCACCCAAATATGCAATGTTCACATACCTTATCACAACAAGCAGCACACCTTTGGAAATTACTGTTGCATTTGATGGTGATTACCCCCAGACTGCTGATCTAAGAAATGAGCTTCAATCAACTTTATACTCTATGATCTATCATGATAAACCAGTCCTGACCTCTGAAGAGCCTGGAATAAAGGAGATAGATAAGCCACTAAGACTGAGGGTCAGCAGCACGTCTTCCAAAGAAATGCTGTCTTCTTTGATAGAAACTGTTGGATTTTCTGAAATGGTTGGAGACTTTTCTGCAGCTAAACCCCAATCTGCTGCACTGAAGGTTGAATCTCATGCTTCTTTTGAAACTGTCAAAGCTCATCAATCCACTGATGTATCACTGGCACAAATACCTGTAGACCAATCTATAGAAAGATATGGAGGGGAGTTTTTGAAACACGCTGTTGTAGCTGAAAGCCCGATAAGAATTACAAAAGACTTTCCAGTTATAGAAACATTTCTAGAGAACACTGAAGTAGAGGAGCATAGTATGGTCAGTTTCACTGTGATTGTAACATCTGTTACAAATGTTAACTGGTATTTCAATGGACAATTGGTTAAATCTGGCAAAGAGTTCAAGTGTTATAAGGACAATGATAATTACACACTAGTAATTGACAAGGTTATCAAGGAGAAGCACCAAGGAGAATATGTCTGTGAAGCTGTGAACAAGGCTGGCAAGAGCTCAACATCATCAAAACTCACAGTATTCTTAAGAGGTTGGATATCAGGGATAAGCCTGACATTTTTTTTTTCAGTGCAGCATTAAATATTAAAATCCATGTTATTACTAATGATAAAGGTTCTGTGCACCACCACAAACATTGCATGTTTTTTGGACATCACATTTTCCCATGGCTTTCACTGAATTGATGCTGTCTTTCATTTAACCTTTCCACCTGTTTCTTTTCAGTCACTCCCTGGATTACTAGTGTATGCCATTCTATCATCATCGTTCCAGCCAATCACCTCCCCATTAAAATGAATGTAACTGAATTATTGCCAGTTGTGCTAATTTGGTTTTCTTTCCCCTTTTCTTCCCAATCGCCCATCTTCTGCAACACAGTACCGCCTGTTTTTCTGCACAAAATCCAACCTTTGGAAATCAACGTCGGCAGTCGTGCCAGATTTGAATGTGAGATTGAAGAGGCACCCAATGTAAAATTCAAGTGGTTTAAGTCTGGCAGTGAGATGAGAGATAGTGACAAGTGCAGGATCATCAGCCATCACCTGTCCTCCTCCATGGAGCTTTTGAATCCAACTAAAGCCGAAAGTGGTGAATACACCTGCAAAGCTACAAACAAATATGGCAGTGATAGCTGTTCAGCTTCTCTGAATGTAGCTGGTAAGTGGAATGAATGGTGTAGTACATTCTTCAGTGATTGTTATTGAATATGAGTGGTTATTATTATTTATTGGAATACGAATTTGGTTGCTGCTGTTGCATCCCACAGCCTTTAACAGTGTAGTCATATAATCTGTTTCTTAAATCTTCTGCCCAATTTATATTACTCTTTTTTTGTAATTTTTGTAGAAGTTTTCCCACCAGTCTTTATTACTAAGCCAGATCCAACGACTTCATATGTGGGAAAACAAGCAAGAATTCAGTGTGTTGTTACTGGTTCATCACCAATGAATGTTGTTTGGCAAAAAGACAACGTTGCTATTTCTTCGGGAGGAAACTACCAAATTTCTGCTGACAAGAACCGACATACTCTTGAAATAGTGAAACTTGCTCTCTCTGATCAAGGGACTTACCAATGTAAAGCCTCAAATGTTGTTGGAACTGACATGTGTGGCACAGAACTAAGGGTAATTGACAAGCCTAATTTTGTAAAGACCTTTACGTCAACATCAGTAGCTCTGGGGAAGCCATTGCGACTTGAGTGTCAGGTAGATGAAGATACTGGAGTGGTCATCACCTGGACTAGGGATGGCAAGAAGCTGCATCACTCCATGGATCTTAAAATTACTTTTGAGGACAAAGTTGCCACTCTTGAAATTCCTAATACGAAGCTTAAAGACAGTGGGAAATACAGCTGTACAGCTGCAAATGATGCTGGCAGTGATTGCTGCTCTTCCACAGTAAGCGTTCAAGGTAAGACTGAAAGTTAATTTTCCGTGTTTGTGCAGTATTTGTGAAGCAGCAGATCTGCACAACTGGAGATTAACTCTTAAATCTCTGATGTGTGAAACGTTAGGTATAGTGGTATAGTAATAGAAAATAAATAAATATTGATGCTTCTTATGCTGCCTCTTACCATCTTTGAAATATGTTGATCTGAGTCTTTTTGTCTCATCTTTTTTGGAATATCTTTATTTCTCGACATTGGATCATGATTTCTCAACTGAAAATGACTGAGTATGGCATTATGACCTTTTTCTAATACTTCTTATTAGAGTCCCCAACCTTTCTTAAGAGACTGGAACCCAAAATCCTCTGGAAACAGGGCATAACGGGGCGAATGCAATGCACTGTTAAAGGCTCGCCAGAGCTACATATAACATGGTTCATGAATGACAAAGAAATCAGCCCTGGAGAGAAACACAAGATGAGCTTCAAGGATGGCCAAGCAGTCCTAGAGATCTTAAATCTTATTGTGACAGATAGTGGAAATTACACATGTGAAGTGTTAAATGATGCTGGCTGTGAAAGCTGCAGCACTGTTTTAACTGTAAAAGGTGTGTAGCAACACTAATTCTCATTTTGATTTAAAAGAATCTTTAAATCAAATGTGGATGCAACTGAGTTGTCTTTTTTGTTTCTCAGAACCTCCTTCCTTCAAAAAAGAATTGCAGATGGTAGAAGTAGTTAAGGGAACTACAGCTGTATTTGAATGTGAAGTAACTGGCACAGCTCCATTTGAGGTGACCTGGTGCAAAAATAAGAAACCAATTTCTTCTGACAAAAAGCATAACATAATCTCTAATTATTCTAAAGTGATTTTGGAGATTTATTCATTTGAAAGTGTAGATATTGGGGATTATCAGTGTTTTGTGTCAAATGATGTTGGTAAAGTCTCCTGCAAATCAACTGGTAAATTAAAAGGTTAGTAAGGTTCAGCTATCAAAGATTTTCATGTATGAATATGTATTTGCATTCCCTATATGCATATTAAGAAATTATGTTCTTTTATATCTAGAACCCCCAACATTTTCCAAGAAGATAGAAAATACTTCAGCTATTGTGGGAAATTCTGTTAGACTTCAGGGAACTCTTAAAGGTTCATCTCCAATCACAGTCAAATGGATGAGGGATTCTGAAATTTTAACTGATGATGATCCTAATGTAATAATGACATTTGAGAATAATGTTGCAGTTCTGGCTATCAAGACTGTAAGCATAAACCATAGTGGCAAATACATTTGCCAGGCAGAAAACGATGCTGGCAAACAGCAGTGTGAAGCTACTGTGTCTGTTCAAGGTTTGTTGATATTTTTAAACTTGCAGCACATTTTATGCACAGTCTTATTATGTCAAGTCTAAAGCTACTTAATTCCATTTTAGAACCAGCGAGAATTGTGGATAAAACAGAATCCATTAGTGTGACTGCAGGAGAACCAGTAAGTTTAGAGTGTACTCTGTCTGGAAGCCCAGAACTCAAAGTGAAGTGGTTCCGAGACGGGAAGGAAGTGACAGCCAGTCGGAAGTACAAGATGACTTTTAAGGATAACGTGGCCATTTTGAAAATTCTTACGGCAGAAAAAGGAGACAGCTGTGAATACACCTTGGAAGTGGCAAATCGTGTTGGAAAAGACCAGTGCACATGTTCTGTCACTGTCCTGGGTTGGTTCTGGATCTCATTTACTTGTTAATATTTCCTTGAATTATTTGGTCATAGATTTGTGGTGTTGTGAAGGTACTTAATTTTCTTCTTGTTGAACAGATCGAATTATTCCACCTTCCTTCATAAAAAATCTTAAAAAGACTGATGGGAATGTTGGCACCAATGTCCACATGGAATGCAAGGTTTCTGGGTCGCAGCCCATGACTATTTCATGGTACAAAGATGAGATTGAAATCAAAGCCAGTGCAAAGTATGAAATGAGTTACAAGGAAAACACTGCTACTTTGGATATCTTTGAATTACAACAGACTGAGGCTGGGTTATATACTTGTCGTGCAACAAATACAGCTGGAAGCAAAGAAAACAGTGGAGCTTTATTTGTTAAAGGTTTGAAAAACACTCATGCCCTCTTTTTTAGTGTTTAACATAAAAAAATCCATTTGGCAGAGTTTCTCATAAATATCTTTAAACTTAAAAAGTATTCAAACTACTGTATATAATAATTATAATATTCAATACATTTTTTCTCTCCTAAAAAAAAAAACAGAACCTCCCATCTTTATAATGAAACCTGATTCCCAGGAGGTAATTCCAGGATCCACTGTGGTCTTACAGAGTGCTTTTACTGGTACATCCCCTTTTACCATTAAGTGGTTTAAAGGGGAGAAAGAAATGTTTACCGGAGGCTCATGTTTCATCAAGAAAGAGTCAACTTCAAGTTTCATTGAACTCCATTCAGTGAAACCCACTGATTCAGACAATTACACTTGCCTAGTGGCCAATGACGCCGGGAAAGTGACTTGCACCGGCGTCTTATTTGTGAAAGGTGCTTTCTTTCTTTTACCTGGTTTCTGCCTTTGTTGCTCATATTTCTGTGTCTTTTGTTTTTTTTTTATATGTTTTTTGTTTATTGCAAAATGTATTGGCTTTTTGTGACTATGATTTTTTAATTATTTTTTTAGAACCACCAAAGTTTGTAATGACACCTGAGAGTGCTAAACTGGTAACATGTGGAAGTGCAGTGATCCTCGAATGCAGAGTAATCGGTAGCCCTACCATCAGTATCAAGTGGTTCAAGAATGAGGCTGAAATTAGTTCTGATGACAAATATCAAATGGCCTTCAGTAACTCAGTAGCTACTCTGCAGATTGCCAACTGCTCTGTTGATAATAGTGGGGATTACGTTTGTGAAGCATCAAGTGAAGCTGGTAGTGACCGATGCAACAGTGTAATTACAGTGAAAGGTCTGTAAAATATCCCTGAGGATCATTTTAGTAGTTTTTATAATTCACTGATATTCAAATTAATCATTATGGATATTTTTTTTTGCTTTAGAACCACCTACTTTTGTGAAGGCTATTGAATCAAAGGAAATTGTAAAAGGATCTGATGTCATATTGGAAGGAATAATTTCAGGATCATCGCCATTTGAGTTTACTTGGTATAGAGAGAGTAAAATTGTGAGAAATGATAAAACACATAAGATCAGCTTACATAATGATACTGTTAGCCTGCATATTTTAAAATGTGAAGTTGGAGATGCTGGAATATATCAGTGCATTGTTACAAATGAAGTGGGGAGGACTTCCTGTGATTGTCAAGTGAGTCTGAAAGGTTAGTAGATGAAGTTTAGATTTTACATCTTTGGGAAATATGTTTCTTTAGATCATATTGAACATATATCTTTATCATGGTTTTATTTTTCTTGTACTAGAACCTCCATCTTTTATTCAGAAGATAGAGAACGTGAGTTCAGTTGTAGGCCATGAAGTCACTATGCAGTGTGTTGTGAAAGGGTCCTTACCAATCACTGTTTCATGGATAAAAGATGATCGTGAGGTGAAAGAAGATGAAAATATTAAAATTTCGTTTGAGGATCAAACTGGAAAGCTGCATATTACAAATATGCAGCTAAAACATGATGGAAAATATATATGTCTGGCAAAGAATGAAGCTGGAAGTCAGAAATGTTCTGCCTCATTGGTTGTGAAAGGTTTGTTGCGAGTGTTATTTAACCATTTAATTAGTTATTTTGTTTTGAGTGTTTTGAGTTTGTATGAGTATAAATTGCATTTTTGTTGGTTTTTAAAATATTGCATTTTGCCCCTAGAACCAGCTAATATTATCGAAAAGGCCAAATCAATCAGTGTTACAGCTGGGGATCCAGCCACACTGGAGTGCAGCTTTTCAGGAACTAAAACCCTTAAAGCCCGGTGGTTAAAGGATGGGAGGGAGTTGAAATCAGGGCAAAAATACAAGGTTCACAGCACAGACAAACACTCTGCTTTAAAGATTCTCTCTGCTGACAAGAGTGATGGTGGAGAATACACTTTTGAGATCTCCAATGATGTTGGTAGCAGCACTTGTGAAGCTGTGATTACAGTTTTGGGTCGGTATATTGGAAAATTGGTACAGTGTCTTATACAGTATATGTATTACAAAGCCATAGCTAAGACATCTTTCCTAAAAGCATCTTCCTTTATTTTGTGCAGATCACATAATCAAACCATCTTTTACAAGGAAGCTGAAAGCAGTAGACAGCATTAAGGGGTCATTCGCCCATCTGGAATGCCTTGTTTCTGGTTCCCTTCCAATAATTGTGTCCTGGTACAAAGATAATAGAGAAATTGAGACTGATGACAAGCACAAATGCACATTCTTTGAAAACACAGCATTTTTGGAGATCAGCCGTCTTGATAGTTCTGATACTGGCAGTTACACCTGCATTGCCAATAACCAAGCTGGGAGTGACCAGTGCTCTGGTGCATTGCTTGTCAAAGGTGTGTAGAAAAGAATTGAATATATTTGTAGTAATCCTTTAGTATAACACATTTTGTTCACAGCATGTATGCTGAATGAATACTTCTTAAATAATCTGTTTTGGTTTTGCTCACTATTAGAACCTCCAAGTATTATCAAAAAGCCCGAGTCAATGGATGTCTTGCCTGGAACAAAAGTACAGTTCAGTGTACTTTTTAGTGGCACTACCCCATTGACCATCAAGTGGTTTAAAGACAATAAGGAAATTTTATCCAGCTCACATTGTTCTGTTCAGAAGGATAATTGCTCAAGTTTACTGGAACTCTTTTTTGCAAAGACATCAGACTCTGGGGACTACTTTTGTGAAATCAGTAATGATATTGGCTCTGAAGTTTGTAAAGCATCACTCTTCGTAAAAGGTTCATTTTTACTTTATCATATTGTTATTTGTATGTTTTATATGCCTTGTAAACTTATTGAAATACTTACGTGTTGATTTCAGAGCCTCCAAAATTTACCCGAAAGCCTGAGAGCACCGCTGTGATTAAACTTGGAGAAACTAAGAAATTTGACTGCCAAGTAGTTGGCACTCCTGAAATATATATCACCTGGTTTAGAGATGGAAATGAGATTAGTCCCAATGAGAAGTTTAAGATGTCCTTTGATAACTCCTTGGTTATCCTGGAGATATTCAATGCCGATATAAAAGACAGTGGAGTGTATTTCTGTGAGGCACGTAATGAAGCTGGCAGTGAGAGTTGCAGTATGGAGTTGAAAGTGAAAGGTCAGTACATATAGTTTAGATTTGTGCAGTAGTTAGAACATATTTACTATTAACATGCAGTATACTGTATCTAGTACCCTTTTAGATTGTCAATAATATTCTTTCTTTTATAAAATCAATAATGGTTTTAATTATTATTATAATTTTATTCCAGAGCCCCCGGCCTTTATAAAGGAATTAACACCTCTTGAATTTGTAATTGGCTATGATGTCTCTCTTACATGCCAAGTGACAGGCACATCTCCGTTTGAGGTGACTTGGAAAAAGGATGCTAAGGAAATAATTTCTAACAAAAGACATATAGTTTCACAGTGTAATGATTTTGTGATCTTGGAAATATTCAAATGTGAAGCATTAGATGTTGGTGAATATCAGTGCACTGTGGCAAATGAAGTTGGAAGGTGTTCCTGCACCACTGTGCTGTCTATGAAAGGTTAGTTTCCTAGTATTATAGAAAAATAATGGATTCTTTGTCATTGTTAAAAATATTGAACTTTATTTTTTCATTATGAAATGTCAGAGCCACCATCATTTGTGAAGAAGATTGAAAATATTGCCATTGTCCTGGGAAAAATAGCTGAATTTCACTGTGTTGTGGCGGGATCACCTCCACTGACTGTCCAGTGGCAAAAAGATGAGGACTGGATTATAGAGGATGCTAATATTGAAAGGAAGTTTGAGGGCAATGTAGCCTCTCTAAGAATTGCAGTCTCAGAGGCTAGTTATAGTGGAAGGTACACCTGTCAGGTATCAAATGAGGCTGGACAAGAGAAGAGTTTTGCAACTCTAGTTGTGCAAGGTTTGTGCTTTTATTTACTTTGAAGAGTTTTAAGCATCTTTAGAAGTCATCAAATTCTTTACATTATATTTTACTGTGTTTTAGAACCACCGCAGATTACAGAAAAACCAGAGACAGTTAATGTGACGGCTGGCGATCCAGTCAGTCTGGATTGTAAAGTATCTGGCACACCTGAACTGAAAGTCAAGTGGCTGAAAGACAACAAAGAGATTACATCCAGCAGATATCAAAAGCTCAGCTTTGTGAATAATGTCAGTTGTCTTAAGATACAATCTGCACGGATTGAAGATGGAGGCGATTATACATTTGAAGTGACCAATGATTTTGGAGTTTCTAGTTGCAAAGTTACTTTGGTTGTACTAGGTTGGTGCACATTTTTCTAGATGGAGATGATTATGTAGTTGAAGTTGAAAAGTCTTACTGTTGTTTTTTGTTTTCTCAAATCAGAACAACTTATTGCTCCATCATTCCTGAAGCCATTAAGGGAAATGCAAGAAGTTTTGGGATCTTATGTGAAAATTCTTTGCCGATTTTCTGGTTCACTTCCAATATCTGTGGAATGGCAAAAAAATGGTATTATCATTACTGGTAAAACAAGATACAAGCTTGCTCAAGAAGAAAACACTGTTTATCTGGAGATAGATCAGCTAGAGAAGGCTGATGGTGGAGAATATATTTGTAAATTAACAAACAAAGCAGGCTTCTGTGAATGCCAAGGTTTGCTGATGGTGAAAGGTCAGAAAAAAAAATATTCATCATCAAACTTCTTCTTTTTCTTTTGAAATTCTGTGGTCACCGTCTTAGTATGCTGTTTTCCTTTTCCAATGAATTTTAGAGCCACCAAGCTTCATGTTGAAACCGGAGTCCCAAGCTGTGCTTCCTAATTCTTCTGTGCGTTTTAAAAGTACTCTGAAAGGAACGCCACCATTTATAGTAAAGTGGTTCAAAGAAGAAACTGAATTGATAACTGGACCTTCGTGTTTTATTGGACTGGAAGGCTTGTCCTGCTTTTTGGATCTTTATGCTGTTCAAGTCTCTCAAAGTGGAATTTATGTTTGTCAAGTTAGCAATGATGCTGGTACAGAGAGATGTACAGTCGAACTAACAGTGAAAGGTTGGGCTCTTCTCTTTTTTTGCTCAGGCATCCTCATGTAAACATTATCAATACTTTTTCATGGGCTTCTTTTTGACTGGTTACCCTTTTGGCTTATTTTACTATCAATTTTACCCAACAGCAGTCAAATACAATAAATGTCATATACTGTCTCTCATTGATAGACTTTTGTTACAAATTTTCTTTTCCCACATTATCCTTTTTGTTTTCTAAAATTAATGCTTTGGCTTTGCAGAACCTCCCAAATTTGTGCTGAAACTTCCACCAACAAAGTTTGTGAAGCAAGATGAACCAGTGCTTCTTGAATGCAAAGTAACTGGCTCTCCCTTACTTCGCATATTCTGGTACAAGAATGAAAATATGGTTGCTGCAGGTGGAAACTGCAACATGTCATTTGTAGACTCATTGGCAGTTCTTGAAATTCCCACCACAAAACTTGAGGACAGTGGAGTCTACACATGTGAAGTTCAGAATGATGCTGGGAGTATCAGTTGTAGCACTGCACTGACTGTTAAAGGTATATAAATATGAGAGAATGTTATATTGTTTTTCTGAAGTTAATAAGAATTAGCACATTTGATCAATTTGCCTAAGAAAAATATAAATGGTATGGCATTTTGAAAGGACAGAAACCAACAAGTAAAATAATTATATAACTTATGTTGCCTATATATGTTGTCTATATACTGTATTTTAAACATTCTTGTATTGTTCTTGATATACTTTTCATTTGTGTGGTTAATTTTTCAAGAATCTTTAATTATGTCCTTGTGTCCAGTCCTTATTTAATAATGGAATCATCATTTTTTAGAACCACCATCTTTCCTCAAAGAACCCCAGCCTGTGGATGGTGTGAAGGGCAGAAATGTCAGTCTAGAATGTGAACTTCTTGGCACAGCACCCTTTGAGATAACATGGTATAAAGACAAAAAAACCCTTAAGGACAGTAGAAAGTACAAGTTTGTAAATGAGGGTTGCTCTGTTACTCTTCATATTCTGAATCTAGAGGCTTTTGATGTTGGTGAATATCAGTGTAAAGCATCAAACAATGTTGGGAGCGCAACATGTACTGGCACAGTTAAGCTTAGAGGTTAGTAATCCTGGATGTTAAACAAAAGGTATCCATTCTCAGTTTAGCATGCTTTGTTGCATTGTCAGGTGTCTAATATTTATTTTTCTTTTTTATGTAGAACCACCCGCATTTGTGAAGAAATTGTCTAATCTCTCAGTCATTTGTGGTGAAGAAGCAATGTTTGCTGCATCTGTCAAAGGTTTCCAACCAATGACTATCTCTTGGGTGCAAGATAAAGATAATGTTTTGAGAGATGGTGAAAACCACAAGATTTCCTTTGAGGACAACCAGATTACTTTGAGAATTTTTAAGACTGATGTTTTGTCTTCTGGCAAATACATTTGCCAGGTTAAAAATGATGCTGGATCAGTGGAGTCAATCGCAAAATTGACTGTTCTAGGTTGGTAAATGTTTAGGGCAGTTGTGAACATCTTTTGAGATTGGGTTTTGATATGTTCCCAATATAAACGTGCTCTTCCCTCTTTGCAGAACCAGCTTCAATTATGGATAAACTAGAGTCATTCAGTGTCACAGCGTGTGACACAGCTATATTGCAATTTACAGTAGCTGGGACACCAGAACTGAAACCAAAATGGTTTAGGGATGGTGCAGAGTTATCCTCTGGACAAAAATACAAAATTACCTTTTCAAAAATGATTTCCACTCTGAAGATTCTGTCAGCAGAAACTAAAGATACTGGAGAATATACATTTGAAGTTTCAAATGAAGTTGGTAGTGATACCTGCAAAACATATCTTACTGTCCTAGGTCAGTGAAAGTTCTTCACATATTGTCCTGCTCTTCTTTATTGCATTTACTTTAGTTTTCGTTTGAGCTCATCTTTACTTAAAATCTTTTTTAACAGATAAAATCTTACCGCCTACATTTATACGAAAATTGAATGATACTCGAATGATACTTGGTAAACCTGGTCAGATGGACTGTAAAGTCTCAGGATCACAACCTTTAACCATTTCTTGGTTTCATGATGGAAAAGAGATAGTAAGTGGACCAAACCATGAGGTTACATTCTCTGACAACACCTGCCTGCTAAACCTACCCAGTCTTAAACTGCCAGATTCTGGGATGTACTTGTGTAGAGCTGTAAATTCAGCTGGGGCCAGTGAGACCAGTGCCTCTTTATTTGTCAGAGGTCAGTAAAAATTTATGTTTTTTGCATTATTCTACATTTATACAACATATTGCATCTGTTGGAATTTCACAGAAGAGATCAAATTTTCTACATTATGCAAATGCTTTCTCTTTTTTTAGAACCTCCCTCATTTATTGAAAAACCACAAAATATGGAAGTGCTACCTGGCACAAACATTACTTTTTCAGCCACTGTAAAAGGAAGTGCCCCACTAAAACTGAAATGGTTCAGAGGTAGTGCAGAAATTGTATCTGGAAAAGGTTGTGCAATTGCCTTACGGGGTGATACAGCCACTCTTGAACTGTTTCAAATAGCCAAGTCCCATGCTGGAGATTATACATGTCAGGTCAGCAATGATGCTGGAATGGATGATTGCTCTGTTAATCTTTTTGTAAAAGGTTGGTAAACACATTTCTTTTTTCAAATGAAGTTTGTAATGTCTCATTTTGTCTTCGGAAGGTTCAACATTTCCATTCACAATGATCCAATTACTTCTCTTCTTGTTTAATTTAGAACCTGCATATTTTGTGAAGAAAACGAAGGATCTTGCAGTTGAAATAGGAAAAATGTTGCTGCTTGAGTGTGCATATGCTGGAAGCCCGGAAATACAAGTAAAATGGTTTAAGGATGATAACGAGATCTTTTCCTCTTATAAATATAACATCACGACCACAGAGAGCTCCTGCATATTGGAGTGTCTCAACACTGACAAAGATGACAGTGGGAGATATTCCTGTCAAGTTTTTAATGAAGTGGGAAGTGATTCATGTCATGCACAAGTCTCTATATTAGGTTGGTTTTTTTCTTTGATTAAAATAACTACTTTTGTGAAACAATTGAATTTCTGTTAACATTAGTTGTGCATTTTTGCTTCAGAACCCCCTTACTTTATTGAAAAGTTGGAACCAATGGATGTGACTACAGGAGATGCAGTTTGTTTGAAATGTCATATTGGAGGCACACATGAAATAAAGGTTTCCTGGTTTAAGGCAGATGGAAAACTGCGATCCTCTGCTGCTTGTAAAATAGAGTTTACTAGAGGCATTGCCTCTTTGAAATTAAGTAAAGCTGTACAAACTGATGCTGATGAATATACATGTAAAGCAGAAAATAGCATTGGATCAGCCTCCTCAAGCTGTCGTTTAACAGTCCAAGGTGAAACTTCCATAATAAATTCTTCAGTTTAATTTAATAGATTTAAAATGTTTTCATGCAAATCAAAACTTATGAAAATGCTGTCTGTTCAATTTTAATTCTATTTCAGATGTTAAAACACCACCTTCCTTTCCCAAGAAAATAATGAGTCTGCAGCAGACTGAAGGCCAGCCAGCTAGATTTGAGTGCCGTATTGCAGGGTCTTCTCCTTTGGAGGTTTCTTGGCTTAAAGATGGTGAACCTTTGAAGGAAAATGATGAATACTCAATGTATTTTGATGATAACACTGCTGTTCTAACAATATCCAGAGGTGAAATTAAACATTCTGGTGAATATACCTGTGTTGCTACCAATAGTGTTGGAACAGCATCTTGTAGAGCAAAGCTCACACTGCAAGGTTTGTTTAAATTTGAAATGGAACTCTTCAGTAGTCAGATCTCTTCTTTGATGCATATTTACACATGCTTGCTCTTCCAATTAACTTTTAGAGCCAAGATATCCTCCAGTCTTTGATAAAAAGCTGCAGCCTGTGGAAGTTTCTGTGGGAGACAGTGTGGACCTTGAATGTCATATAACAGGATCTTTACCGATTAAAGTGACTTGGTCAAAGGATCAAAAAGATATTCGTGCAGCAGGAAATTATAAAATTTCATGTGTGGATAACACACCACATCTGACAATTTTGAAGGCAGATAAAACAATTTCTGGACAGTACTACTGTCATGCTAGTAATGATATTGGGAAGGATACTTGTAGCACTCATGTTTCAGTAAAAGGTATTTCAATAATGAAATGTTTTTTGAAAAAAAGAAAGTTCTTCTAAAAGTATATTTCAGCTCTTCAAAATTATTTTATCATCTTGTTCTCGAGTTTTTTTGGTTGTCTTTTTGATTTTCTTATTTGGTGTGTTTCATTCCAGAATGCAAAATTCCACCATCATTCAAAAGAACACCTTCAGAAAGTATCGAGGACTCTGAGGGGAATCTAGTGAAGCTGGAAGGGCGTGTTTCTGGGTCCCAGCCCATAAGTATTAGCTGGTACAAGGACGACAGTGAAATCTACAGCTCTGACAGTTATGAAATTTCCTTCAAGAACAACATAGCTCTGCTGAGTATTAAGAGAGCTCAGCTTTCTGACCGTGGCACTTATACTTGCCAAGCCTCCAATGAAGCTGGCACAGCCTCCTATCAGGTGTCTCTTGCTATAACAGGTAGAATTTCTTTGTTTAGTTGTGTACTTAGTATGTGAATTTTATTGATTGGTTTTATTTAATTGCTAATGCTTTGCTGAGATTGATTTTCTTAGAAATGTATATTAGGAGTTACCACTCTTCTCTCCCAATACAGAACGTAAGATGTCCCCTGTGTTTGATCAGCCCCTCAAACCATTATCAGTTAACGAGGGTGAGAAGCTGCATCTGAGCTGTCATGTTCGGGGATCTCTACCAATGAATATTCAGTGGATGAAGGACAGGAAAGAGATAACATCTTCTGCGAAGACTAGGATTACTTTTGTTGATGGCACAGCTACATTGGAAATAAGCTCTGCATCTAAAACAGATGCTGGTGACTATCTGTGCAAGGCCACCAATGATGCTGGAAGTGAATTCTGCAAGGCCAGAGTGGCAGTACAAGGTACTATGTTTTAAAATTGTAAAAATATTTTAATTAATCCAGTACAGGTTTATGGGTGGGCATGGTACTGTTGTACATTAATAACAGTTGTTTTTTTACTTAAAACATGGAAGTGGCTCCAGCAGCTGTTGATGGAGTCCCAGCAACTGCGGAGCAAGTCAAGAAAACTGACAACTTGTTCTTCATTGATGAACCAAAAAGCCTTAGCGTTACTGAAAGTAGGGAACTTGTATTTTGGTATTTGAACGCATAGTGTTCTGGTAGTCTGAAAGAAATGTTGCTTATAATTACATAAGTAATTAACAATATTCTGAGCTCAAGTATACTTTCACTGCTTTAATTCTAGAGGGCACCGCAACATTCTTTGCCAAGGTTGGTGGAGACCCAATTCCTACCATTAAATGGATGAAAGGCAAGTGGAGGCAGATCAGTCATGGTGGTCGCATCACTGTTGAACAAAAGGGACAGGATGCCAAGCTGGAAATCCAAGCATTGACCAAATCAGACTCTGGGCAGTACAGATGTGTTGCATCCAACAAGCATGGAGAAATTGAATGCAGCACAGAATTGAAAGTCGAAGAGAAGAAAGAAGCTGCACTGCTTGAAGGAGACTTAAGAGCTAAACTGAAGAAGTAAGTGTGCTATAATAATTTGTTTATTTGCAAATCAGACTGTTCCTGTCAGGGTCAGTGCCCATCCATCCCTGCCCTTCATGTCTCTTTCCTGCTTGGCCAGCAGGTGTTACTGGCCATACTTTTACCTCCTCTTTTTGTACTAGACTGTTGTGTGTTTCCTCTGCTCCCAGGACTCTCATATAGCTCAAAGTGCTGAGAGTATAGTACAGGGGCTGTAGCCCTGCAGTTGTGGGTTTGAGGCTAGTCTCACCTGTTTTTTTTGTTTATTGGTTTTCTGTTTTTCCTGTTTTTGTTTATTAGCCCTTTGCTAGCCTGTTTTGGTTCATCCTTTGTTTGATACTGATTATCCCTGTGTTTTAATTTGTCTTGTTTATGGTCCCTTACAAAAATTAACCATGGTTTTACTATGATTAAATAGTAATGGTTTACAATGGTTTGCCGTTTTTTATGGTTTTTTGGGTAACTATGGAAACCATGACTATGGTTTTATCATGGTTTCGCTACAGTTAAACCCTAGTATAATCTTGGTCATAAACCATGGTTTTTGTTTTACTATGGTCTTTGTTTTACCATGGTCTTTACCATGGTTTTTGTTTTACCATGGTCTTTGTTTTACCATGGTCTTTGTTTTATCATGGTCTTTGTTTTACCATGGTCTTTCCAAACCATGGTAGTACTCTGGGTAGTACCAAAGTACCCTGAGGTACCATAGTTAAACTATGGTTACTGCATAAAAACCATAGTGAATTTTCATAAGGGGTTCTCTGCCCCTGCCTTGGTTATGTTCTGTTTTACTTGTTTCTGGATTTTTCTCCCAGTGTAGTATTTCCCTGTATTTCCTTAGTTTCAGGTCTTCTAAGTTCGTTAGTTCTGTATTCATTAGTGTTAGTTTCTTATGTTCATATGTCTTGTTGCCCTGTGCACTCGTTGATTGGTTGTTTTTGATTTACACCCTCCTTTTGTTAGTCCTTGTTATCATTGTATTTGCCTGCCTTTGTTCATTTCCTTAGTCAGTCATTGTTAGATGTTACTCTGTGTTGCTGTGTGTTTGAGATTCTGCCTGTTTTATAATCCTGCTACCTCTGTTACCCTGTTTCCTTGTTTGGTTACTTTATGATTCTTGTGGTTAGTTCTTGTTGGCTTTTTGACCCCTCTTGGTCCTTTTTTGTGCCTTTCCCAGTGTGTTCTGTTGTATGTTAATGAACCCCTTTTGTCACAGAGCTGCCAGTGGATCATCACCTTCTTCCTGCTTGTGCCATGGCGTGCCATAACAGTTCCACTTTTTTAAAAAATTACATCACAACAGAAGTGCACTATTGACTCTTTCCTTTTTAACAGAACCCCATCTAAGCAGAAGAGTCCCAAGGAGGACCAAGACATTGACATTGTTGAGCTACTGAGAAATGTGAATCCAAAAGAATATGAGAAATATGCACGCATGTATGGAATTACGGACTTCCGTGGTCTCCTTCAGGCTATTGAATATCTGAAAAAGGAGAAGGAATATGAATCTGGAAAACTGGTAAGTTAATTCAAAATATTAGCAAATTTAAGGAAAATTAAGGCTTTTCATTGAGACTTATGGAAGCCCATTTCCACCAATGTGATAAAAAAATATTCTCATTATAATGAGAACTTTCTTGAAGTAATGACTTGGTATCTAAAGATAATGACTAGAGCTGTCCGAATTACTTTATTAAACTCAGTCGCTTCAAAGGATGCAGTCCCTGAATTAGGACATAGCCAAAGGGTGGATAAAGTGCATATTTGAAGGACAGGACACTGTTAGATGCTTGTGCTAAGCACATGAACATGGCCACCAAGTGTGGTACTGTACTGTGCAAGTGTGTACTTAGTAGGGGAAATGGGACGAAGCCAATATTTCCATAAAGCAGAATACGAATGTCTTGTTGTAATTGGGGAGTATTGCACAAAGCAGGATTTTTTTAGATAACTTAAACCAAATGTGAAAATAGGAAGAGAGGTTAGGGTTAGGATTAGGGCTAGACAAAGGGTTAGGGTTAGGTATTAGACAAAGGTATTTTGGTTATCAGTCAAATTTCTGAGGCAGAAATATGAAGACACAAGCAAAAAATGTATTCATCAAATGAACCTGAAGTACAAAAATAATTACATCTGCTCCATTTTGCTCCAGTTATTATATTTTTTCTCCACACATTTGTGTTACTTCCAAATTAGCGCTGGTGCTTGTGGTCAACTGATCAGCAAGCTATTGTTGTAACCACCTCCCCAGTAGTTCCTTTTCGAACAAAAAGTACCTAGTCTTAAAAAGGGTCCCGGAACAGCTTCCAAGAAACTACAATTGGGCCAAGTTCCTGTGGTGTGAATACGACAAAAGTCCCTGGTTCCGGTTCAAGAAAAAAGTTCTGGCGGTGTGAAATCGCCTTTACATTAGATAATGTTGAAAAGGAACCAACTTTGAAATTGCCAAGCTTTCTATGTTTGGTTTTCTGTGACTGATTAAAAATGTTTTAGTGCAATTTGTTTAATGGTTTGAACTCAGCAGACTATTGTGATCCTTGTGCTGTGAATTGCATGTGCATTGCATGTGTGTGAATTGCCATGTCGCTATTAAAAATGCATATAATGCAGCATAGTCAACCACTCGTCACAATACATTTTTTCCCTGTATTTATGTAGGTATGCTCCATTAACAACATTCTGTGCTCTCTATGATTGTGGATTTTATAATATTGAGTACCCCATGCCCTAAATAATACTGTACATTTGTTTATTGGAATGTTTGCTGTTTAAATGCACCTATTGTAATGCAATTGCTTGAAGCGGCTTTTTAACATTGATATGGTTATCTTATTATATATTATACAAAAGAAAGGTATTAGTAGTGTGGAAGAAGGGTACTGGGGTAGGGGGAATTATAGGATTAACATTTTGTCTTAGGCCTTAGGCAAGAAGATGCTGTTGCGTTCTGGGGGGGTCGTCTTAAGTGATTATTTCTAGAGCAATCTGCTGAGTCATTATTTTGAGAGTACGTTATTTCAAGAAAGTTTGTTATTTCTAAATACTAAGTCATGATTTCAAGAAAGTTTCTCATTATAATGACTTGCGGGATATTTTATCAATAATAATATATAGAACAATAATACATTTACATTTGCTCTAGAATTTTTTTGAGATGCCTACTATTTTCATACATAGGAATTTGAACTCGGAGAAAGGGAATCAGTCGAGGACTTTGCCAAGTTGGTATCTGATTTGCAAAGGAGAATGGAACACACAGAGGTATGAACATGCATATGGTTAGGTTTAATTTTTCACTAATTTGTCTACAAATAAGTTATTTTATTTTTATCTATATTTTCAGCTAGAAATGTAGGAATTCAGTGCCAAGTTTTTGTTCTTTGTGAGGAATTTGTTTTTGAACTGATAATTGAAATCACTCAAAATTTGGTGGCCATTTCGAAGGAGCTACCAACCCTCTTCACAAAACACCAATTTCTGTATGTTATTTCTGGACAAATATACACTGTATCATAATAAATATAGTACTGTACAGTAAATGAAAACCTTTTGCCCTTTGCTAAAAAATATAAAAGCAAGAAATGATCATAAAACTTCAGAAAATAAAGCTTGAAAAGTTTGCTACAGAACTGAACAAATCTAGATGTGACACCTACAGTACACAAAAATGTATCAGTAATTCAAGCAAAATGTGCCTCTGTCATATGATAATTCCACCAAGTATTCGCACAGGGATTCATTCAAACAAGTATTTTAGTTTTAACCTTCAGTATCTCATGTCTTCTAAAGTGCAGTAAGAATTGTCCTTATTTTTTTGTTTTGCCAGAAATTCAAAGGATTTGTAGACGTTTTTACCTGCACTGTGAAGAAACATATTAACATTATATTCTATCTTGTTTTTTTTCCCAGCCAATCACTTTGCTGAAGGATATTGCAGATCAAACAACACTCACAAATAAGGATGCAGTGTTTGAGTGTGAGATCAAAATCAATTACCCTGAGATAAGTTTGTCTTGGTATAAAGGAACACAGAAGCTTGACAGCAATGACAAATATGAAATCAGTGCAATTGGTGACTGTCATCAACTGAAAATCAAGAACTGTCAGGTTGGAGACCAGGGAAATTATCGTATTGTGTGTGGCCCACACATCTCAAGTGCCAAATTAACAGTTATGGGTAGGTTCTGTTGTCATTTTGTTGAATTTATTAAGGTACATTTTCATATTTGGGTAGTGCTAATAGCATAATTCACATTTCCTTACATTGTCTTTGACCCAAGATGACAGAGTGGTGGAGCATTCAAAACCTGGTAAGTAATGACATTTCTGTGCTTTTTCATGGGTTACAAATAAATATTACTTCCAAAGAATATGCATATCTGCTTGTGCAAATCAGATTTACGGGGTCCTTTTTAAAATGCAGTCAATAGTACCATTTGTCAAGGTTCAGTAATGAAACCTTTAGAATTTTATTGTTTACAGTTATTTTAGTTTTGAGCTGTTCATCTGATACTACAAACTGCTCTCATGTAGCTCAACAGAGTGTTGTGTAAACAATGCAGTGGCCAGGGGTTCAAATCCTATAAAAAACACATAAATTGTACCTTTAGTGAGGTATCTTGTGGCTATGGTGTCTTGGTGTGCCATATTCCATTTTGCCTTTTTTTTTTTAATTATGTTGACTCTGAGCAAACAAACGTAAATAACACACAGTCACACACAAGGAAATTTTGAATATTGGACACATGGCTCCACCTGATTGGCTCCCAACTTTTATGTTGAAATTCATGGAACTTTTAAGTTTATTATCCATGAGCACCTATGCTGCCATTGAGGTAACATAATGGAGGAGGAACAGATGGAAAAGACCTGGTGTCCTTGCTTGCCACAGAAGGCATGGACTACGATCACCAGCTACCCAGAATATTTGCTTCTAATGTGTGATCACTTGTCAACAATATTGATGAACTACAGCTGTTCTTCCACAGCAAAAAGGACTTTGCACTCTTTTGCTTTTTGTTCCACGAAAACGAGTCTACACACTGCCTACACACTGCCTACACACTGCCTACACACTGTCTTCAAATACTTGGACTCTATACTCAGTGAATAAAACAATTTAATTGTCTATATATAGGACCTTACTCCTATCAATACTTTTTTCTTATTCTATTTAATTTATTTCTACTTATTCAATTTTTCTTAATTTATGTTCTGTGTTGTCTGTGAATGTATGCACCAATACTGCAAAAAACAATTCCTAATACACGCAGATGTATCTGGCCAATGAAGTGAATGCTGATTTATGTAATTACAAGCTTTGTGGTTCAGAAATGTATGCATATAAAAGCTGATTGTGTTTTATGTGTGTTTTTTTTTTGTATGTGTGTGTAGCTGACCAGATACATTTTACGAAGCGTATCCAGAACATTGTGGTGAATGAGCGTCATTCTGCCACATTTGAATGTGAAGTCTCCTTTGACAATGCAGTTGTTACGTGGTACAAAGATACATGGGAACTCAAAGAGAGTCCAAAGTATAGCTTTCGAACTGAAGGTCGTCGGCACTTTATGGTCATCTGCAATGTTACGTCAGAAGATGAAGGTATGTACGATCCATTTTTAGAAAAGTATTTTACTTATCATGCTCCAAGACCTGCGATTAAAGTTAATAACACTTCTTTCTAAATCTTTCAGGCGTGTATTCAGTGATTGCACGCTTGGAACCAAAGGGTGAAGCTAAAAGCACAGCTGAACTTTACTTGTCCAGCAAAGGTTTGTGTCACTAAAGAAGGGGTTAGAAATCCCGCTGCTCAACAGGTTTGCTATTGGCCTGTGAAAGTTAAAGATTAATTCCCCTTTATTAATATGTTAATTGATGGCAAACTTTACAAAAGAATGAGTTGGCAAAGTAACTAATTAATTCTTCAAAAAATTAAGAGCTAATATTTATTTATCTAAAACTCTTAACACTATTGCAAGCATACCTAACAGTTTTTAATTTAAAAAAATGGTTTGCAAGCAAATGTTCTTCATAGGTATCGTTGCCTTAATCATAAATCTTGCAACACATTCAATATCACAGTTAAAGCTGATTAATTAAGCTTAGCCCTTGTATATGAAATATTTTACTATATTCTTTTTGTGGTTCACACTGTGACATTATATTTTATCCACTTTTTCTAGAATTTTATATAGGAATGGTTCCTTGTGGTGAGTATTATTTATTCTATAAGAATTTAAAGTTCACCGCAAACGTTACATTACAAACTTTTTAATCACCTTGTTTATGTTATAGATGTCCTTGATCCGTCAATACAAGTACCCGATGTGCAATCAGATATCTCCCCTGGTGGTAAGAACTGGAATTTAAATATACAAGATTAATGTTTTAATCTGAAGAGATCTGTATTTGTGGACAAAGGAGCCGAAACAACATCTATAATAACAATATATATATAATATATATTCTTCTTTTTTTCTTTCCAAATAGAAACAAAAGATGAGACTGTGTCCTACCGTTATAAAGAGAAAATCGAAATGCAAGGTAAAAATAATAAATAAATTTATTGTCAATAGTAATATTCAGTTCATCTTATTTTTCATAATTTTTTCGCAAGGACATGTTAAAGCAGTGTGGGCAGTTACTGTACATATGAAGTTTTAAAGATAAATTTTCAAAACAAAATCTCAAGCAGTATATGTTTTTCATTAATTTCATTATTGTATGCATTTCAATGTTTTTTTTTTTAGTTTGACATTTTAAACAAAGTTGTGTTTTACTATATACTTTTCCTTGACTTTTACATTTACAATCGCTTTCATTCTTATATTAGAGTTTGAAAGCTGGGCAGTTTATGAAGAAAGAATTATTGAGGAAACAACAAAAGGTATAGAAAAAGTTATTAAATGCAAATATACATACATGAAATACATTTATATACACATTTCCTGTTCTGTGGTCTTATTAACATCTTGTGTTTCATTAATGTTCCACTAGTATTCATTTTATCAAATGAGGCAGTCATGATTTTACTTCTCCGTGACCTTCCACAACACTTATGATGTTCTGCACACTTATTCCCCCCCCCCCTTTTTAAAATCAGCATCAAAGATAGCCATTACGGAAACAGTTCCAACGGTTGCAATAGAAATGATTGAGGAAGTGCCAAGGAGAGGTATTTATCTACTGTGGCTAATCATGGCTTATATCTGTAACCGCAGATAAGCAACTTTTAGTATAGTGAATGCAAGACAAAGCAAATATTTATAACAGTTTGTTTAAATGGCCTTTTTCCAAGAATTGTTTGACATTTATTATCAATAGTAATGTTCTGTTCTTATGCAATGATGCTTAAATTATGCTGTGGTTTTGTAATTTTATAAGTGCATGCTTTGGAAGTGGAGTCTGAACCTGAGATAACTGTCCCAGTTATACTAACAGCACCAACATCCACAAAAGGTATTTCAGTATACCTATCTTCTCACTCTTTTCACTCACTCTTCACTCACTCTTCACAGAAAGCAAAGCCTTTGGAAGGAATATGCGAAGCCCCACTCATGACATAAAGATAAACATAAAAATTATATATATTGTGACCACATTTTTCTAATTCGTTCCCATGATATATTAAATCATGGGCATGTTTTACTAATCCATTCCCTTGTTTTACTTAAGTTGCGGCCAAGTCTTATTGATTAGTTCCCTCATTTTAGTGACATTGTGGCCACATTTTACTAATTCATTCCCTAATTTCAGTTAAATCGTGGTGACCTTTTATTCATTAGCTGTATAATATATAAAAACGTGGGCACGTTTTACTGCATATCCAGCTTATAGGCACTTTCATTTAGGCCACTAGACATCTGCACCTGCTGGTATGGACAGATAATTGAGCTTAAGGTTGGAATAGAGTTGCTACTCTATCTTTGTTTTCTGGGATTGTCCCGTCTTGATCCAATACGGGATGCGAATTGTCCCGTATTCGTGATTTGACATCCCCCCCGTGAGCGAAGTCCCGCCCTTCTTCTGATTGGATGTGGCAACCTTAAGGTTGAAATGACCTACAAACACAAAATCTTGCATTGCAAGGAATTGTTATTGGTGAGAGGAAGTTATGTAGAATATTCGAGAGCCAGGGCACTTTACCAAACTACTGTAATTCCTTTCTTTGCTTTATTTAAATCATGGGCATGTTTTAGCAACTCATTTTCTTGTTTTAGTTAAATCGTGGGCACGTTTTACTAATTTGTTCCCTCGTTTTCGTTAAATTGCGGACACATTTTACTAATTGGTTCCCACAATATTATAAAATGTGGCCATGATATATATCATTTTTATCAATTATGCGTCATGTTATAAGAGAGGCTCCATAGGAATATCACCTTTTTTATTATTTTACTTTTTATATTATTTCAATTTTTTGTGTATGGCATCTGTCATGTCTCGTCTCCTGAATGCATAATTTGGAATGAATAAGTTTGTCTGCCATTTGGGCCAAACTTCTGTTGTTTTAACTTTCTGCACCAGTGAATCTTGATTGTCATCTCTGCTGTCATTTATTTGCTGAACATTTTATCTAATATTCAAATATTTATTTTAAAAGAACATGAAGAACTCAAGAAATTTATTCCTTGCCCTACACCAGCTCCTACTACTCATCCTGAAGGTTAGATTATGTTAATTGTGTCTCTTCCTTTTTCATGGCTCCATCTATGTTAACTTTTCATCTTTTTGAATTTTTTTTTAAGTAATACTTGTAATGTTTTAGACATGTAAAAATGCAGTAATATATAACCTGTAATGGTGTCTTGTTTTTTTTTTTTTTTTTGATGAAGATGGGCTCACACCTGCAGTCTCCGAGCCAAAACCCGCTGTGACCCCTAAAGGTCAAGCAAAAACTGTAGCTCCAGCTAAAACTGAACCAAAGCCTACACCAGCAACACAGGCTGTACCTGAACCAAAGCCTACACCAGCAACACAGGCTGTACCTGAACCAAAGCCTACAC